CCCCCGCTCCTCCTTCCTACCAGACCCTGTGGGGCTACGTCCAGTCCTGGTCCAACGTCTTCTACGAGTGCGACCGCAGTACGTACATTCTTTGGCACTTTCATCCGCTCCCCATCTCCCTTTTCTCCCCCTTCCCATAAATGCCCCTTCCTGCTCTGACCTCCCTCTCTGCCCCCCCCCCCCCCCCCCCCCTCCCGCCCCCGTCGCCACCACGCAGACCGCTCTCACTCCATCAGCTTCAAGGAGCTCAAGCGTGTCCTCAAGTCCCTGCAGTACAACGTCTCCGACAACTTCGTCAGCCTCCTCACCTACAAGTACTCCCACTACGGCCAGGAGATCCGCTTCGACCACTACGTCGAGATCTGCGTCGCCATGCACATGCTCACCGACCAGTTCCGCGCTCTGGACACCAACCAGAACGGCTACGCCACCATGCAGTACGAGCAGTTCCTCAGCATCATGTTCTCCACCCGCTAAGTGGCGTGCGCGCGCGCGCAGAGAGTCCCACGAAAGCGAAAAGCACACAAGCGCCTCTCCCTCTCTCTCTCTTGCAGGTGGGCGGGCGGGCGGGCGGGCGACCCCTTCCCCCCTCCTATCTGCGCGCGAGAGGGGGGCATACGCAGAGAGCATACACATCTCTCCCTCTTCCACCCTTTCTCTGTGGCCCCATGTGCCTGTATGCTCCCCCCCCCCCCCACCCCCTTCCGTCGCGCCTTGTGGGGGGTCTCACGCGCACACATGCCTCACGCGGTCAAAGTTGACAATACGCCCTTGAGGGAGAATCCACATGTGTCCGTCTTGAAGCCGGGGTGTGTGTCTGCGCACCACCTTGTTGTGCTTTGGTCTTCTCTAAATATATTTTCCTTTTTTTCCTATCCCCCCCCCACCCTGGTTCTCGTGCCAATCTCGCTCTCTCCCTTCCGCCGCCGCCCTCCGTGCAATGTGGTTCGCCAGTTTTACTTGTGAGGAGGAGGAAAATCCGAGCGAGGGCCTGTGTATGTATTCACGGGAGACAGTGGAGGCGCGCGGAGCACATGTGCACGTGAAAGGGCCAGACGTCGGCGAAGAGGAGGACACAAGTCACATCCAGGAGAGGCGGGCGTACATGCAGCGCGCGGGTGTGTGTGTGTGTGGATCCACAGGCGAGGGGTGGGGGTGTGCTTCGGCACTCGCATCCCATCCCTCTACCACTCCCGTTGTGTGCCCCACTGTGACCCGGCAGAGGGGAAGGACGAAAGGCGGAGACAAGCTGGGCTGGCCCCGTGCTGGGAATGATGCAGGGAGAGAGGCAGAGGGAGACAGAGATGGGGGGTCACGCGATGGTGTGTCTATATTTATTTTGCGGCCGATGACTTCCAGATGTGGATGTGCCCAGTCGCAACGAAGGGGGATGGAGGGGGGGGGGAGGAGGGTGAACGCGGGGGTGAAGGCGCCAAGGCGGGGCCCGGACGAGAGCCAGGGTCAGAAAAGAGCGGCGCCATGCACGAAAGAGGGCGAGGGAGGGGCATCGTGGGGGTCAGGCCCCGGGGGAGGGGGCCAGGGTGTGGGGGGGGGGGGGGGGGGGAGGAAAGGGGGCGAAAGGGCGGAGCGGGGGGGGGGGGGGGGATGGCAAGGAGTACGTCTATCGGCAACCGCAGCCGGGGTATATTTATGCGGCAATGCCCGCCTGCTTGAGCAGCGCCTGCCCCTGCTTGCTCTCGAAGAAGGAGTAGCTCAGGATGATGGTGTCGACGTCCTTCATGCGCGGGTCATTGGCGAACTCCGGGTCAATGTAGAAGAAGACCGGCATGTCAACACGCTCGCCCGCCCGGAGCTGCTGATACTCGAAGCAGAAGCATTGGATCTTGTTGAAGTACTCGGCAGCCTTGTTGGGCGTGACATTGTATGTGGCAATGCCAACCGCATCGCGTCCAGATTGGTTCTCAGCCTCGTAGAAAGCCAGCGCCGTCTCGCCCACACGCAGGTGGAGCTATCGCATTGTTCGTGCCGTCACCGAGGGGCAGCCCGGAGAGGAGGAAGGGAGGAGGCTGGAGTCAGCAACAGGGGGCGCAACCGATGAATGCGTGGCCAGGGGGATGGGAGAGGAAGGAGGCGCAGCCAGGGGGGTCCTTAACATACAGTGCCCTGCACAGGCTTGAAACGCCACCGAAGGTTGTCGCTGGCATCCGAGGTGAAGTGGATCTTCACAACACGGGCATTCTCATCAAAAGTGGGCTTCGGCGGGGCAGCGGCATTGTGCCCGGTCTTTGGCGTCCCTCCGAAACCGGTGACCGCGCAGAACATCCGATACAGCGGGACCGCCGCGTAGGACAGGCCACAGACAGCCACACCCACGGCGCCGGCATAGTAGAGCGCCGAGATGTTGGCCTGCCGATGCGAGGAGTAGTACTGCTCCCGGGCGGCCCGCTGCCGGGCATCCGAGTTCCCACGGGGGGGAGGCGGGGGAGCCGCCTCCGAGGCGAGGCCCCGTTGGGCCGGCCGGGCGGGCCCGGCGCGCAGGGACGCGGGCGCACGGCGCACCGCCGCCGAAAGGCCAAGAGAAGAAAACCGCGAGAGCATCGTCTGCGATTCGTTGATGCTGCGAGTCAGATAGCTGATGGAAGGGGGGGTGGTGGGAGGGGGCACGAGAGAAGGGGAGGTGAGGGGGGGGGGGAGCAGCTTGCTACCCGGAACCGAGGAGCACCCTCCTGGGCCATGGGAGCCCGGGCAGCGAAATATGCGCCCCCCCCCCCCCCCCGCGCCCCTCCCTCGCCCCCGCCTGCTTGCGCCGGTCGCCTCGCCCCGGGAGGGGGGCTGGCCGCGAAGGGGGCCCCCCGCAGATCTGGCCAACTGCCTCGTCGACCGGCACGATCGCGTCCTCGTCCCCCGCTGAGGAGGGATGAACGGGTTTTCTCCACACCCCTGAGGGGGCGGGGGCGGGGGGGGGGGGCGGGAAACCGCGAGGTATGAATCACCCGTGGTCGAATGCCTGGTGGCTGAGACCAGGAACGCGGCGAAGACCACACATCTGTGTCTACGTCTCCTCCATCTGTCCTCACGCCGACCCGTTCGTCCGCACCCACCCACCCACCGGGAAGGATTGCCGGACCTCCCCCCGTCCAGACTGAATGGCCCTACACTCCCCGGCCCCGGCAGCCCCACGCTCGGCGCCCAAAGGCGGACCCCGACGCCAGGGGGGGGGGGGGGGGGGGGGCCCCCGCGACCCACACGTTGGGGACGCTCCCACACCCGGCAACCGAGCGCAGTGCGTTGGTTCTTCTCGCGTAGATCACATGCGGACGATGTCAGCCCTGACTGTCGTGTGACACCGCGGCCGGCGGGGATCGGCGTCCTCCGGCGCCGGACCGCCAGCTCCACGGCATGCCAGCTTTCTTGTCCGCTCATTCTCCCCGCCCAGCGGCCCCCTCCTCTCCGGTTGCTTCTGTGTTCTCGTCACCGAGGAAGAAGGCTTGCCCGGCTCCCCCACCACCACCACCACCGCCAGAGGTCCGGCTAATTGGGGGGCACGGGTATTGGGCGTTGTTGTTTTTTTTTCTGTTCCCCTAGCTTCCACTCCCGCCTCCATGCCATCAATCGCCGGCGAGCTAATGCGCTGGAGTGTGTGGGCCTTGACTCAGGCCGCCGACCAGCGAGCCCGTCAAGACCAACGCGCTAGCAGGTCCGTCCAGCCGAGAGCGCACGAGGCCTCGGATTTTTCTCCCACAGATCTCTCCCGCCGGTTGGCCCCCGACTCTCTCCTCATCCCTCTCCTCCCCCTGCACCGGCGCCACCACCACCACCACCACCACCACTACCACCACCACCGCCACCACCTTGTCCTCCTCGGCCTCCCTCGCCTGGGTCCTTCTGCTCCGCCCCCCATCCCTCTGAGTTTCCCTGCCGCTCCTTTCCCGTGGGTCTCGCTGGCGCGCCCGAATTAACTGCTCGGCACTGAGTCCCACACGCGGCTAAAGGGCGCTCCGTCGCTCCCTCCCTTCCCCCCTCCCACATCTGCCTCCTGGCCTTCGGCTCCCGGCAGGCATCGGTGCTTTCCAACTGCAACTTGCCCACTCCCCCTCGCCGGCAGAGAAGGCACACATGCAACCATCGGTCTTTCGGGACCTGGGCGTCGAGTCCAGTCCGTGACACCCTCGACCACTGTTTCCCATGCCTGCCCCCC